TCCTTCCCACATTTTAGGTATATGTTATTATATTTTACATCTTTTTTATGTGAGTTCCTTGACTGATTTTTACAGAAATATTCATTTCTATTGCTTTTGTGTTTCCTGCCTTTATACCGTCACTTTTGGTCTCTACTTTCCACTCAAAGGATCGCTTTAATATTTCTTGCAGGGCTGGTTTAGTGGTCATGAACTCCACTGGTTTTTATTTGTCTGAGAAACTCTTCATCTCTCCTTCTATTCTGAATTACAGCCTTGCTGCATAGAGTATTCTTGCCTACAGATTTTCCCCATTCAGCATTTTGAATATATCATGCCACTCTCTTCTGGCTTGCCAAGTTTCTGTTGAAAAATCTCCTGCTAGCCTTATGGGTTTTCCTTTATTCCCTTTATAAGAAGTTAAGGACTTCTTTTGGCTTGCTGTTTTTTAAGTTTTTTTTTCCTTATCACTATTTTTTTTAAAGATTTTATTTATTTATTTGACAGAGAGATAGAGAGCACAAGTAGGCAGAGCTGCAGGCAGAGGGAGAGGAAGAAGCAGTCTCTCTGCTGAGCAGGGAGCCTGATGCGGGGCTCGATCCCAGGACCCGGGATCATGACCTGCCAAAGGCAGCCACTTAACCAACTGAGCCACCCAGATGCCCCTCCTTATCACTATATTTTGCAAATTAAATATGTCTTGGTGTTGGCTTGCTTTTGTTGATTTTGATGGGAGTTCTCTGTGCCTCCTGTATCTGGATGTCTGTTTCCTTCTCCATATTAGGGAAGTTTTCAGCTATTATTTCTTCAAATAAATCTTCTGCCCCCTTTCTCTCTTCTTCCTTTGGTACTCCAATAATACAAATGTTATTACGTTTATTGGAATCATTCAGTTCCCTGAGTCTATTCTCATGTTGCACAATTGCCTTTTCTCTCTTTTGTTCAGCTTCATTGTTTTCCATTACTTTGTCTTCTAGGTCATTAATTCATTCCTCTGCTTCTTCCAGCTTACTGTTCATTGCCTCAAGTGTGTTTCTAATCCTGTGTATTGCACTCTTCATCTCTGATTCTTTTTTAACTCTTTTATCTCTGTGGTAAGGGTCTCATTGATGTCTTATATTATTTTGAGTATCCTTATGATCGTTGCTTTAAATTCTCCATCAAGCATGTTACTTGTATCTGTTTCAGTTAGATCTCTGGTGGTAGCCTTATCTTTTTCCTTCATTTGGGATAAGTTCCTCTGTCTTCACATTTTGCCTAATTCTCTGCCTTCTTCTCTGTGTTAGAAAAGCCAGTTATGTCTCCTGCTCCTGAAAGTAATGGCCTTATGAAGAAGAGGTCATATAGTGTCCAGGGACTGGTACTTCAGGGAATATCTCCAGTGTGTGCTGTGTGCATTCTGCTGATGTGTTCTCTGCTCTATCCTTCAAGCCAGTCATCTACAGAGGCTCTCCTTGCTTGCTGTGGGAAGTGTTTGGTCCTTGGCTTGAATGTGGCGAGTTTTAACTAGGTGTGCTCTGGTCTGCTTCTGAAATGAGACCTATTATTACCTCCACCAGAACTGAGGCCCTGCAAAACTCTCTGGTACAGAGGCGTGGTATGAGCAGGAGTTTGTGCTGGTCTTCCTGGGGAGAGGTCCACCACGCTGGGACTGAGGCAGGTGTGCCTGAGAAGGGCAGTTCCACCAGGGCCGGGAGTGGTGGTGGCATAGGACTTGGTGTATGCAAGTTAGGCAGCCAGTATCAGTGCTGCACTACTTCCCACAGGTGGCTCTGTGTTTATGCTGAGGGGCAGGGTTGGGAAATGGTGCTGGCCAGCTCCTCTGTTCCCAGAGAGGTGTGTCTGTGAATGCTGCCTCTGAGGGACACACTCTGAGAAGAGCAAATAATCACCCCCTGAGTGCCCTAGGTGTTCTTAAGATTGCTGTTTCCAAGCTGTCTGCTCCTGCGATGTTTGCCCGCTTTCTCTCCAGGAGTAGGGCAGTGCCCTCCAGGCTCTATCCCAGCCAAGCCTGCTGACCTTTAAAACTCCAGATTTTATTAAGCCCTGCTGGTTACAAGAACCCACAAAATTCAGTCCCTCTCATTCTCCAAGCCAATGGCTTTGGGGAAATGTTCTCCTTGTGTGTTTCCTGTGTGCTCCTGTCTCTTGCCCTTCTCCATGACCACAGCTCACTTCATAGTACCCATGATCTAGTTCTCCTTTAAACCATGTCTCTGCACTTCCTACCTTCTTTGATGTGGCTTCTGCTCTTTTTTTAGTTGTGGAATTTGTTATGTTGGTCTTCAGGTCAATTTCTGGGGTATTTAGGATGATCTGATAGTTATCTACTTATATTTGTGGGATGAGACAAGCCTAGGGTCCTCCTACTCCATTGCCATCTTCCTGCTCTCTCAAAACTAGACTCTTAAATACAGAGAACCAACTGATAGTTTCAGAGGGGAGATGGGTGAGGGGGATGGGTGAAATAGATGAAGGGGATTAAGAGGTACAACTTACAGTTTTAAAATAAATAAGTCACGGAGATGAAAACTACAGCATAGGGAATATAGTCAATAACACTGTAATGACATAGTATGGTGACTACACTATACTTATCTTGATGAGCACTGAGTAATATATAGAATTGTCAAATCAATATGTTGTACATTTGAAAGTAATATAACAGTGTATGTTAATTACACTTCAATAAATATAATTAAGAGGGAAGAAAGAAAAAGAAAAAGGCAGAAGATAAGGAGAAACTATTATAGATTCTAAGACATTAGAAAGATCATTAGAGAATATTATAAATAATTTTAGTAAATAAACTTGAAAATTTAAGTGAAATGGACAACTTCCTAGAAAAATACAACTTATCAAATCTAGCACAAAAATAAATATAAGATAGGAATAGATCTGTAACTATAAAGGTGATTCTGACAGTTATTCTTAGTGCTCCCTAGTCTACTATTTTCCTGATGGTGGAGGATTTTATGTGTGTAAACTGACAACTTAATTCTAAAATTTACATGGAAATACAAAGCATCCAACAATAGCCTGGAAGTGTTTTCTTGAAGAATTACAAAATGGGAGTACTTCTCTACCATATAATACACTTGTTATAAACCTGTAATAATACAAACCTATAGTAATTATGACAAGGGTAGAAAAATAGACCATGGAAAAGAACAGAAAATGCATAAACAGACCCATACAAAAATGATTACTTGATTTATGATAAAAGTGGCATGGACAGCAGTGGAGAAAGGACTATCTTTTTAATAAATAGTGTTTCATCATTTGGATGTCTATATGGAAGAATATGAAAGTGACTTCTACCTCACACCATATACAAAATATCAACCCCAGGTGTACTGCAGATCTAAATATGAAAGGCCAATCAATAAAGGTTATATATAATATAGGAAAATTCTTTCATGACTTCAGGGTTGGTGAAGTTTATAAAAAGCACCAACCATATACAAAAGGGTTGATAATTTAAACTACATTAAAATTAAGAACTCTGTTCACCAAAAGACAGTCTTGTTTCAAAATATTAACCTAGGGATTGGGGAAAGAGGGTGGAAATGTAGATGAAGCAGGACTGGCTGTGAATTGCTAATTGTTGAAGTTAGGGGATGGGTACATGTGGTTTATTACTTTATTCTTTCTACTTCTGTATATGTTTGATGTTTTTCGTGGTAAAAAAAAAAAAAACAGTGGGAAGACCATCTTAAGAGTGACAAGTCAAATCATATAATGAAAAATTATTTGTGCAGCACAGAGAACGGACAAAGGGCTTGTGTGAAAAATATATAAAGAACTGCTTAAAGCCCAGAAAAATAAGAGACAATACACACATAGAAGAGACGAAAAAAAATGTCAAGAGCTCAGCTGATCTGGGAGGATGGTGGTTGAGCTGTCGGGTGTCAGAAGAGCCAATGAAGGAAACAAGCAGAAAGGGAAAGAAAGCTTTTAATCACTTACTGTAATGGTACTAAGAGTTGGAGCCCCTAACACTGGAGGAGGCAAGGATTCCACCTGGTCATTTCCCCCCCTCCCCACCCAGGGCTGCAGCGTTTGAGAGTGAAGTGGAGCAGACACGAGTGTCCTCTCACTGTTAGGGAGTCCCAACTTTCAAAACTCTGAGGCGTGACTGTGTGGGGTAGGGGGTAGCGAGGAGATTGAGGAAGGAGAGTCTGAGAGGACTGACTCAGAGTGGGACAGCACAGGGGCCTGAAGCCTCAGATTGAGAACTAAGAATGAAGGCGCTGGGACCAAAATTTAAGTATGCCTAAAGGGAGGACTGTCCCTAAAAAGCTGATAATATTAAGCACTGGTAATGATGCAGAACACCAAGAATTCCAAAAGATTGATGATGGTTAACACAAATTGTACAGTAACTTTGGAAAAGAGTCTGAAATTCCATTTCTGGGTGGAGTAGAAATTTGTATACATGTGCACAGGACAGATGAATAAGAATATTCCCAAAAGCAGTCTTTGTAACAGACTCAAACTGGAAAAAACAATACAAATGTCAATCAACTGTAGAACGAATAAACAGCAGTATATTCATAAAATGAAATAACTGTCATTATTTTTTAGAAAATGAGTAAAATTCAGCCACACGAATGCAATGTTGAATGGTAAGATACAGAAGTGCACCAGAGGATTCTATTTACATACAGTTCAAAAATAGAGAAGACTGAAAAAAACAAAACAAAACAAAACAAAACAAAAAAACAAAGCTTCAATTCAAAATAGTGGTTGCCTCTTGGGAGCACGGAGTTGGCCGAGATGTGCAGAGCACCGGAAGGCAGGGGTCTGAAGTGTGAGACTCTGATCTGGGTGATGGTTACATGGGGGATTGTTTGTGATGATTCACTGAGCTACACATTTATGTTTTATGAACTTTTCTATGTGTGCGTCACACTTCAAGATAAAGTTTTTTAAAAGAAACACATATAAGCACATTTATAAAGCGGTCACACATTTTGAAGGGAAAAAACAGATGCTGTATGAATAAATAACATCCTTACCTCTTTAGGATCAATACATTTCACTATCTGACGTGGCTCTCCTTGTCTTCTGATATCAATCAGTCTTTTATAGTGTTGGAATATAGCGACATTCTAAAGGTTCAAGCACATAAGATTCTATGGTCAAAACTGGATTTTCTACCTCTAAGTTAAGCTTTGTGCCTAACCAGGGCAAAATGAGTAAGAACCATAAAATAGACTTTATGTATGTAAACTAGATTTTAGAAATATTATCCACTCAGGGTTTGCTTTGGCAAGCTAGGAAATACTGGTTTTATTCTCATAGAGTTTTATCCTTAACTTTGGAACTACATCATTAGCAACTATAAATAAAATACCCAGAATGTTGGTGGAGTCACTTCTATGTACTCCAGAGTAAACCAGGAAAAAGACAAAACAGCCTACTGGTTAAGAACATTGAGTATGGCATAGCATTATCTGGGTTGAACCGTTAGTATGACAGTGGACAAGCTGCTTAGCTTCTCCACTCAGTTTCTCATCCGAACAACCGGAATGACAGGGATATCTCATACAGCTATGGTGAGGAATTAATGAGTTAATATTTGTAAAGCACTTAAAACAACTTCTGGCACAAGAAAGCACTAAATAATTATTATCTTATTATCATTCCAGAAACCTCGGTCCTGTAGTAATGCCATTGATTTACAAACCCAATCTACTATTCATGTTAGCACAGTATTTAGTCAGATGACTCCAAACAATTCTTCTATCTCAGAAAACTATTTCTTTGGTAACATTCTCCTTTTACCCTATGCCCCAAAAAGCCCTTAGTAACTCTTGGTAAACTTCCCCTGCTGCCCCAGTATGCTTACATCAAATCAAATCAATTCAAACTGAAGTAACCCACAGCACCAATATGACAATTTGAAGCCCCACTGCAGTTGTCTGTGGAAATGGTGCAGCTCACATCAGCTGACAAAGATGGCACCTGCCATTCCCATCTGCCTGTCTGGCTGGCAGGGAAGGAAAAGAACTTGTATGTTGGTGAACAAAGAAGCTGGGTGGGATGACAGTGAAAGCTGGTCCAACATGTCCTGCAGGCTGTAAAATGCCTTTTTTGTTGTTGTTGTTGTTCAAGTGATTTTAATGATTGGAATGCACAATTTTTTAAATACACAAATAAAAAGTTTTAAAACCTGCAGGAAAAAAAAAAAAAAAGCAGTACAACAGATCAATGAAACCAGGAGCTGGTTCTTTGAAAAGATCAATAAAATTGATAAACCTTTAGCCACACTCATTAAAAACAAAACAAAACAAAACAAAACAAAAAAGAAAGAGAGGGAGAGAAAGAAGACTCAAATAAACAAAATCAGAAACGAAAGAGGAGAAATAACCAACAGCACAGAAATACAAAGGATTATAAGAGAATATTATGAAAAACTATATGTCAACAAATTGGACAACCTAGAAGAAATGGAAAAATTCCTAGAAACATATATCCTCCCAAAACTGAAACATGAAACAAAAAATGTGAAGACTGATAACCACCAAAGAAACTGAATCAGTAATCAAAAAACTCCCAAAAAACAAAAGTCCCAGGGCCAGATGGCTTAACAGGCAAATTCTACCAAATATTTAAAGAAGAGTTAATACCTATTTTTCTTAAACTATTCCAAAAAGATAGAAGAGAAAGAAAACTTCCAAATTCATTCTATGAGGCCAGCATTACCTTGATATCAAAACCAAACAGACACTGCTAAAAAAGAGAACTACAGTCTAATATCTCTGATGAACAGATGCAAGTATTCTCAACAAAATATTAGCAAACTGAATCCAAGAATAAATTTAAAAAATGATTCAAAATGATTAAGTGAGATTTATTTCTGGGTTGCAAAGGTGATTCAACATTCACAAATCAATCAGTGTGACACATCACATCTACAAGAGAGAGGATAAAAACCATATGGTTACTTCAGGGGTGCCTTGGTGGCTCAGTTGGTTAAGCGTCTCTTGATTTCAGCTCAGGTCATGATCTCAGGGTTGTGAGATCAAGCCCTGTGTTGGGCTCCATGCTGAGTGTGGAGCCTGCATAAGATTCTCTCTCTCCCTCTCCCTTTGCCCCTCCCCTTTCTCTTAAAAAAAAAAAAAAAGAAAGAAAAGAAAAGAGGCCTCAGAGAGATCCCTCACCCCTCCCACCAGATGAGGACATAGCAAGAAGACAACTGTTCACCTATGAACTAGAAAGCGGGTCCTTACCAGACACCAAATCTGCTGGTGCCATGATTTTAGACTTTCCAGACTCCAGAACTGTAAGAAATATATTTCTGTTATTTATAATCTACCCAGTCTATTATAGTGCAGCCCAAATGGATTAAGACAGCTACCAAAGTTTGACCTAAATAATGTCAGAATACATTTTTTCCTCAAGTTCACATGGAACATTTACAAAAATAGACTTTAAGCCAGGCAAGTTTCAACAAATTTCAAGTTATTAAAATCATATAAATAACTGGCTTCAGTGGAATTAAACCAGAAATCAGCAACAGAAAGGTAATTAGAAAACTCCTAAATATTTGGTAATTAAGCATCATACTTTTTTAAAAAAATTTACTTATTTATCTGAGAGAGAGAACACAAGCAAGGGGAGGGGCAGAGGGAGAGAGAGAAGCAGACTCCCGACTAAGCAAGGAGCCCAATGCGGGGCTTGATCCCAGGACCCTGAGATCATGACCTGAGCTGAAGGCAGTCACTTAACCCACTGAGCCACCCAGGCACCTATAAGCAACACCAAGCTGGCTCAGTTGGTAGAGCATGCAACTCTTGATCTTGGGGTTGTGAGTTCGAGCCCCATGTTGGGTGGAAAGATTACTTAAAAATAAAATCTTTAAAATCAATCAATCATGGGTCAAAAAAATCACAATGGAAATTATAAAATATTTTAAATTGAAATGTAATAAATATATGACATATCAAAACCTGTGGGATACATCTAAGGGAATGTTCAGGGAGAATTTAAATGCTTTAAATACATATATTATTAAAAAAGAATAAATGTGTAAAATCTAAGATCTAATGTTCCATCTCAAGAAGTGTGAAACAGAACAGCAAACCAAACTCCCTCAAAAGATGAAGGAAAACACAATAAAGATCAGCAGTTAATGAAATGTAGAGTTAAAATAGAGAAAACCCACAAAGCCAAAAACCAGGGTTGTTTTTTTTTTTTTAAAGATTAAGACAGATGTAGAAAAATAGAAAACAGATATGAGAAATACCATCCCAATCTTACAGACATTAAAAGTACAGTGAGAGGAGATTATAAACAACTTTAGGCAAATAAATTTGACAATTTTAAGAAAATGGACAGATTCCTTGAAAAGTAACATCAAAATGGGCATAAGAAGAAATACAGTTTTGAACAGTCCCGTATTATTAAAGAAATGGAATCCCTAATTAGAAACCTCTCATAAAGAAAACTCCTAGCACACAATGTTTTGCTAGTGTATTCTCCCAAATATTTATAGAAGAAATAGCATTAATCGCACAAATTCTTTCAGATAATATAACAGAAAGAATACTTCCCAATTCCCTTTATGAGGCCAGCATAATCTTGATATCAAGATCTGGGAAGTATATGACAAAAAAGAAAAATTACATTCATGAGCAAATATGCAAAAATCCTAAATTAAAGTTGATAAAGGAAATTTTCAACTCTTAATGCTTGTGGGTCCTATTCCTGGACTCCAGGGGAGGCTATACTTTAACATTTACCAAGGTGAAAATGACTAGGCAAAACTTCAAAGCATGGATTCTATTTCTTCCCTGATCACACACTGTATATCTGCTTCATTAAAGAAAATAACCAGGAAGGAGCATTCTGAACATAAAAGAAAAAGGAAGAAACTTCCCTGGTTCCTGTAAGACTGAAGTCTACAGCCCTGCATATATTAGAAACTTAAGATAAGGTCTACAACTTTCTAAAATGTTTTTTGTCTAATAATTTGTAACTCTTTATGTATAAAATGTATATAACCTTACACCAAATGTTCTCCCTTACCAAAGCACCCTCTTCTTTGTAAAGACTGTGTATCCAGGGCAGCTGTCCTAACTTGGACTTGAATGAAACTCTCTTTTTTTCCTAGAAATTCTAAAAGGTTTGTTCATTTGTGTCAATAAAGTTTAGCAGATCAAATCCAGGATATATCAAAAAGGGTAATAATACATCAGAGTGAAGTGGAATTTATTCCAGGAATACAAGGTTGGTTTAATGTTTGAATATCAAGCAATGAATTCACCACATGGAAAGAATGAAGACAGACCATATGATCATACAGTAAATGCAGCAAAAGCATTTGATAAAATTCAACACCCAGAGTTTTCATAACAACAAGAATAAAAAGCAAACTAGGAATAAAGTTAAATTCCCCAAACTGATGATAAGTTTTCACAAAAAAACTACAGGTAACATCTTAGCTGATGGTGGAATATTACATGCCTTCGGCGTTCAACAAAAGGGCAAGAATGCCATAATTACTGCTTCTATTCAATCTTGCACTGGAGGGTCTAATCAGTGCAATAAAGAAATAAAAGGTATAAAGTTTGCAAAGAAAAAATAAAAGTTGTCATTCAAGGATGACATGCTTAAGTGGAAAATCCAAAGGAATCTATAAAAAAGCAATTAGAAATAATAAGTGCACATTAGGTTGGCAAACAAAAATAAACTATATTTCTATAAACTAGAAATGAACTAGAAAATAAAATTTAAAAATAATACCACTTACAGAAGCATCAAGAAATGCCAAGTACCCAGAAGTTAAATGAAAGATGTTTAAGACTTCTACACTGCAAACTACAAAACATTATGGAGAAAAAATTTTAAAGATCTAATAAATAAAGATATGTACCATGTTCATGAAAACTCAGTGCAGAAAAATATCAGTTCTCTCCCAAATTGATCTACTGATTCAATTCAATACCAATTATATAATCTCCACAATAATTTTTGCAAAAATTAATGAATTGATTCTACTATTTACATGGAAATGCAAAAGCCCTAGAATAGCTATGACAATCATGAAGAACATCAAAATTGGAGGACTGTAGTGCCCTATACCCATACTTCTGATAGAGCTACAGTTACTGAGACAGTGTGGTATTGACTCAAATAAAGACAAATAGACCCATGCAACTGAACAGAGACGACAGAAAAGACACTCCCGCAATTTACTATGGGAAGAATGGTATTTTCAGTAAAAGGTACTTAATCATTTGGTTATCCATAAAGACAAAAATGAACTTTGTCCATACCTCTCATCATCACAAACATTAATTTGAGATGGATACTAGATCTCAATCTACAACTAAAGCAATTAAGCCTCTAGAAAAAATATAAGGAAAATATCTTCTGGCTTCAGGTTACATAAACATTTCCGCCAGATTTATTTCAATATATTTGACAAGTAATACTGTCCTGGGTGAGTTGGGTGTCCACCTTGGGATCTCTTTCCCCACTGGAGAAAGGAAAGGCCCAGTGGGCTCCTCAGGGCTGCCTTGTGCCTGGTGATGTGATCAAAGTGAAACCCCTCCTCTTATCCTTCTAATGTGGTCCTTCCTGTTCTCTCTGGTCCTGGGCTCTGGGATTTTCACAAGAGTGCTTTCTATGGATAGTTGTTAGTTGGTCTTCTTGTGAGGGGGACTGAAGTTGAGAATGACCTATGTTGCCATTTTGATATTGTCACCTCTTTAGGTAAACTTTTTTTTTTTTAAAGATTTATTTACTTATTTGACAGAGAGAAAGACAGCATGCAGAGGGGAGGGCAGAGGGAGAGAGAGCATCTCAAGCAGACTCCACCGTGAGTGCGGAGCCCAACATGAGGCTTGCTCTCACTACTCGGAGATCATGACGTGAGCCGAACTCAGGAGTTGGACACAGCTGACTGAGCCACCCAGGCGCCCCTAGGCAAACATTTCTTATACAGGACACAGAAAACACTAACTATAAAGAACAAGTGATAAATTGGATTTAACGAAAATTAAAGATTTGTCATTATCAAAAAACACCTTTAAGAATGCAATGAGGCCAGTCTGAAGAAAATATCTGCAACACACGTATTCAGTAAAGGACTTCTGTTCAGGATATATGAGAGACTCCTCAAAGTGAATGTTGACAGTGTAATAGTGGATGTAATGGGATTTGGGGATTTGAAGATTGGGAGGACAGGTAAAAAAGAAAAGGAGGGGTAGGGATATTTATATCCTCATCATACATCATAAGTCACATAATCTTATGTTAGCATGATGGAACAAGGAACAAAGGCTTAAGGGCGCCTGGGTGGCTCAGTCATTAAGCGTTTGCCTTCAGCTCAGGTCATGATCCCAGGGTCCTGGGATCGAGCCCCACATCAGGCTCCCTCCTCGGCGGGAAGCCTGCTCTCCCTCTCCCACTCCTGCTGCTTGTGTTCCCTCTCTCACTATCTCTGTCTCTGTCAAATAAATAAATGAAATCTTAAAAAAAAAAAAAGAAACAAAGGTTTAAATATTCTTTAAAGAAGTAAGGTAACAAATAGAGGAACTAAAAAATAATCATATATGATACTGGGAGGGGAGATAAGCAAGGCTGTGTAAGGGATAAGCAAGATAAGCTCTCAATTATCTTTGCAGAAAGTCAACGGGTCACTTATAAAGTTGATAAATAAAAAATAATTATACAAGAATATTATGCAGAAACACAGAAATAACTACTACAAGATCTAAAACAAAAAATAGTTAAAAGTGGTTCCCTTTAGGATATGAGGGTAGAGAAGAGTACGAGAGGGTAAAAGAAGTGCTTTTATTTATAAGGTCTCCTACATTATTTTACTTAATGAAATATATATATTATTTTTATTTAAAATATTCAAATGTGAGAAAATGCCTTGATTTACATTAGTTTGACTATGCAGATTAGTCATTTATAAGGCCACGTAATGTGTTAAAATTAGGCATCCTTATTTAGAAGTCATCCTCTGAGCCACTTGAAGCAGAATGTTTCTAGACTTAAGATCAAATGTATTCTCTTTGAATCTCAGAACTATTATGGTTCCATGACTTTCATGGTTAGCTTCTCTTCAGTTTCTAACCACTTTTTAAATGCAACTGTGCAGTCATACCTTCTGTAGCAGGGGTACCATTTTATCTTCCGATACAACCTGCTTAGAGACCTTCAACATACTGATCTTATCTAAACTGATCACCATTTTTATTTCATTTTTTTAATTTTCTAAATCTTTTTTTTTTTTTAAAGATTTTATTTATTTTTTAGAGAGTGAGCGAGAGAGAAACAGCATGAGAGGGGAGAGGGTCAGAGGGAGAAGCAGGCTCCCCGCTGAGCGGGGAGTCCGATGTGGGACTCGATCCCAGGACCCTGGGATCATGACCTGAGCCGAAGGCAGACGCTTAACCATCTGAGCCACCCAGGCGCCCTCTAAATCTTTTTTTTTACGTCATTGATTTCCCTTAAATATCAGTTGATCCTTGGTTGTGCATTAATACTTAAGAATGAAGGTCTATGTCAATTTTTCCAAGGAACTAGTCGGAGTATCCTGAGCTTTTTTCTAAGTCTCCCTTTTCCCATTGTTGTCACATATGAATGGGAAGACGGTCTGGGAGCTTTGTAATGTGGGTGGAATAAGATAATCAATAGACTCTCGGTGGAGGGGGTGGGGTATGGTTAGGTAGCCAGCAATCAAGCACGGTGTCTTTCAAATACTAAAATTAAGAGACTTTTACGTGTAGTGCCAAATCCACAATAGAAATAGCTTTTCCAAATAAATAGTTCACTTAATTTTTTACAAAAGAGATAAGCCATCAGGGTTTTCCCCCTAATAGTAAATATCCATCTACAAGCAAATTTTTTGACCAATGGTAAATATCCATTTACCTGTAGCTTTGGGGCTTGAAGTGACAGCACGGACATCTGTCACAGCTACACTGCATACAAGTAACCTTGTATGTAACCAAGTAACCAAGTAGTGCCTACGGTCATTCTCCTTCCAGATCTTTTAAATTGCTAACTCCAAATCGCTTCTTGGCCTTTTGGCTAAGATCAAGTGTAAATTGCTAACTCAGAATTGATATCCTTTCTAGGGTCCCAGTGACAAACCAGCTCTCTCACTGGAGCCCCTCTGATGTGTGTCGAGGCAAGTCTTCTACACAGTTCTATCCTATTTTTGATTTTCCAAAAATGAGATAAAATTAATCTGCTCATGAACTCCCTTCTCTCTGGTATGGGTTAACTTTCTGTCTACTGTCATTTCAATAGGGTTCTGCAGGGACAAAAAGTGAAAATGTATGCTCAGTCTACCATCTTTTTAAAATACACATACACAGGGCGCCTGGGTGGCTCAGTCAGTGAAGCATCTGCCTTCAGCTCAGATCATGATCCCAGGGTCCTGGGGTTGAATCCCTCATCGGGCTCCCTACTCAGTGGGGAGCCTGCTTCTCCCTCTGCCTCTCTCTGTCTCTCATGAATAAATAAAATCTTAAAAAAAAAAAAAAGAAATGAAATACACATACACACACGCTTGTCTGTTTATCTACAGGGCTTCTCTACTGAAACTCCTTAAGGGCAAGGAGGTACTGTAAAGTGCCTCACGCAGTGCTAGGAATATAAAAGGCATACAAAGTAATGTGTCTGGTTGGATTTGGATGTGGGATAAAGGAAGTTACAAATAACAGAAAAGCTTAAGTCTAGTTAACAAGTAGGCTAATAGAAACCATCAAAGGAATAGATTTTAAAAGCAAATTATTATTTTAGTATTAGAAATCGATAGTTATGGGTTTTATGGATTTGAAAGAAGCAAAAGAAACAAATAATGGAAGCTATTTAGCAAGACTTAATGAGCCAATACAAAGGTATTCTGGTGTGCTAGAAGCAGCCATGCCACTTCACACAAAATTATCAAACACAGTGTTACTGCTATCACAGAGGAAAGAGTAGAGTCATATTAGCTGTTGGCTCTCACCCAACCAGGTGAATCAACTCAGAATATTCCTTACACCAGTGGGACCAGCCATACCCACACTAAAGCATGATAAATAAGTATATTAATTCAGACACAGTTTATTATTAAACATTGTCTTCAAAAGTAGGTACTCAATAAATATTTAATAATTAATTAAATATTTAATGTATCCCTAACACCCGTTCAAAAACCCGATTCCCAAGTCAAGAAATAAAATTTTAGAGGTTAAAGCCAAATAACCCTAGTAGTGATACTTTTGTTGATCATAGCCATTATCGAAGTGACTGGCCCTGACCAGGAGCTCAGTAAGGATTTGTGAGGCTAACAAGATAACTAATTAATGTTAAGTTTTTTAACTTCTAAAAAATGTGTGCTTTTAAAGCAAAGGGTGGTACACAAATCCGTAAATATACTAAAAACTATTGAACTGTACACTTTCAACAGGTGAACCTTATTATATATAAATTATATTGCTATCAAGCTGCAAAAAATAAACTCACAAGGAAACATTTCCAGGCCTTCTGAATGATTCTGGCAGCTTTATCCCTCTCTGTAAGTTCTGACTCCTCTTTCCAAGGCATTTGAAAGTCCTAAAATAAAACAAGGGTATATTCAAAATCTCTTTATAAACTCCATTATGAAACTCACTAGAACTCAAGAAAAACAGAAGCTGAGTAAAGGAAATAATACTGATGAGATTTGGTATAAAAATAATTTTAATAAAAATAAAAATTGTTACCTACTATTGATTGCCTTATATGCTCCAATTTGTTTCTTTTTCTAATTTAAACAACAATCTTGCAGAGCAGATTTTGCCAATTTGCTTGTGTTAGAGATGAGACTGCACTTCAAGACCTAAGGTCAAATAGTGATTGACTAAGCCAGTATTAAACCCATGTCAGTTTCTCTTGAAAATCCATGACCTTTCATGTCCCCATTCAATGACTTCAAATAGCTTTTTTTTTAAGATTTTTATTTATTTATTTGACAGAGAGAGAGAGAGAGCGAGTGAGCACAAGTGGGGGAGCAGCAAAGGGAGAAGGAAAAGCAGGTTAAGTAGGGAGCCCAACATGGGGCTTGATCCCAGATCATGTCCTGAGCCACAGGCAGATGCTTAATTGACTGAGCCACCCAGGCGCTCCCAAATAGGCTTTTCTTAATCAACATGCACAATGACAGTTTCATCCCAAATTTATCCAGGCTCCTAACCTAGAGTTAGAGATGATTATAGAATTTTTCTTACTTTGTAACTCATAAATGTGCTGACAAATTAATAAATCATGCATTAAATTGCCAGAAAAAGAGATGAAGCCTGACTACTAAGAAGCAAAACAAAATCACTAGTTCTAGCCATAATTTTTATTAATACTGTGAAGAAATAAGTAATGGGAGAAGTCAGAAAGTCATAGTTTAGGAGTCCTTTAAAAAGTTGCAGCAGACAGAGAGGATCCTGGGAAGAAAGTGGACTAAGGAAGCACCAGGAATCTGTCTCCCCATCTAGACAACTGCACTGGCCAAATCTAATGTAAGTATTTGGAACTCTGGACTCTATTGAAGGCTTGCAACTTCCAGGGGAAGGCCTGGGGGGTAAACTCCTGTTAACTCTGGTCAATTCTGGCTCTTAGCCCAGTCCTAGCTATCCACTCCCTTACCTCAGCCCCAGCAGCAGCAGCTGCGTACACGTTCCTGGAACAACCTGCACACAGCTTGTGGGAGAGGGGGTGGAGAAAAAGGACTCTGTCCTGGAAATACAGGAGATCTGTGTTGGGATTGTTGGTTGCTGCTTCTGATTACAGAGGTGCAGACAAACAGGAGGGCAGTCATTGGTGCTGTACCTCCACCTTCCACCATTGTTGCAAGCCCTTCCCATCTGGCAACTTCCAGGGAACTTAAAGGGTTCTTCCTTCCCTCTACATTGTTCTCCTTTCCCCCTTTGGGGGCCAGGCATTCAAAACTAGGACATTCAAAAATAACTAAAAAGAGAGAGAAAATTAGAAAGTGACCAGTCATTTCCAGGGAAAGGCACAGACTCAGAAAACTGAGAAGACCTTAAGTTTACAATTCTGGCTGATCCTTAACTGATCCTTGTAAGCTATGGAAACAGTCTACAGCAATTAAAAAAAAAAGAAAACACACACACACACAAACAACACAGTAAACTCTGAGGAAAGGAAAGAAGCTCATTTCCAGAGTACCTGCATTATTAAATTCAAATTTCCACTTTTCAACAAAAAATTATAAGGCATATAAAGAAACACAAAATAATGGCTCATTCAAGGAAAAAAATAAATCAACAAAAACTGAGCCTGAAAAAGACCTGATGGCAGATCTACTAGACAAAGACCTTAAAACACTGTTTTAAAGATGCTCAAAAAACTGAAGGAAGATGTGGAGAAATTCAAGAAATGATGCACAAAATGGAAATATCAATAAAGAAACAAAACCTAAAAAGAGACCAAATAGAAACTCTGAAGCTGAAAAGTAGAATAACTGAAAGGATCAATTTATTAGTGGGATTCAAAAGCAGAGTTGAGCAGGCAGAAGAAATAATCAGCATACTTGAAGATAAACCGAAGGAAACTGTCAAGTCTGAGAAAGAAAAAAGATTGAATAAAAGTAAATAGAGCCTAAGAGACCTATGGTACACCAGTAAGCAGACCAACATGCACATTGTGGGAGAAAAAGAAGGGGGAAGAGAAGGTATCTCAAGAAATAATGGCTGAAAAATGCCAAATTTGATGAAATACATGAATATCAACATCCCAGAAGCTCAACAGACTCCAAGATCAGCTCAAAGATACATCCACACCAAAACACATTATAATTAAACTTTTGAAAGCCAAAGATAAAGAGAAACTCTTGAAAACAACAAGAGAGAAGTGATTCATGACATACAAGGAATTTTTAATACATTAACAGATTTGTCATCAGAAACTTTGGAGGCCAGAAGACAGTGGGTCAATATATTTAAACTGCTTAACAACAACAACAAAATACAAGCCAAGAATCCTGTATCTAGCAAACCTGCTCTTTGAGAGTAAGGGAGAAATTAAGACATTCCCAGATAAACAAAAGCTGTAAGAGTTCATTGCTACTAGACCTGTTCTGCAAGAAATGTTCAAGAGAATCCTGCAGGAAAAAATGAAAGGACACTTGACAGTAACTCAAAGTTATATGAAGAAATAGAAATTTCATTAAAAGTAAATAAATGGGCAGTTATAAAAGCTAATATTATTGTAATAATTTGTAACTCTATTTTTTGGTTTTTACATGATTTAAGAGAACAATATATTTTTTAAAATTATAATTCTAAAAACTAGAATTATGGTAACTTTGGTTTGTAATTCCACATACTGTTTAATTTAAAAGACAAGTATATTTAAAATATTAGATTGTGTTTTGGGAGCACACAATGTATAAAAATGTAATTTTGTAACATCAACAATTAAAAGGAGTTGGGATGGAGCTGTAAAAGAGGAGTTTTGTATGTTAATGGAGTTAAACTGGCATAAATCCACAATGGAGTGCTTTAACTTTAGGATGTTAAATGTAATCCCCATGGTAACCACAAAGGAAACAGCTACAGAGTATACACAAAAGGAAATGAGAAATGAATTTAAGTGTTTCACTATAAAAAATCAACTAAACAAAAAAGAAGACAGTAATGCAGGAAATGATTTAAAAGTTATAAAGCAGGGATGCCTGGGTGGCTCAGTTGGTTAAGTGTCTGCCTTCAGGTCATGATCCCAGGGTCCTGGGATTGAGTTCTGCATCAGCCTCCCTGCTCAGCGGGGAGCCTGCTGCTCCCCCTGCTAGTGCTCACTCGCTCTCTCTCTCTGACAAATAAATAAATAAAATCTTTTTAAAAAAAGTTATAAAGCATATAGAAAACAAATAGCAAAGACAGAAGTAAGGCCCTCCTTCTCAGTAATTACTTTAAATGTAAATGGATTAAACTCTCCAATCAAAATACAGAGATTTGCAGCATGGATAAAAACACAGAATCCAGGGGTGCCTGGGTGGCTCAGTTGGTTAGGCGACTGCCTTCGGCTCAGGTCGTGATCCTGGAGTCCCAGGATCGAGTCCCGCATCAGGCTCCCTGCTCAGCAGGGAGTCTGCTTCTCCCTCTGACCCTCCTCCCTCTCATGCTCTCTGTCTCTCATTGTCTCTCTCGCAAATAAATAAAATCTTAAAAAAAAACAAAAAAAACCACACAGAATCCAACTATATGCTATGTAAAATAGACTCACATTAGATTCAAAGACACAAATAGACTGAAAGTAAAGATGGAAAAAGATATTCCATGCAAATAGTAACCAAAAGAAAGGAGTGGTGGCTATCTTAATGTCAGACAAAATAGACTTTAAATCAAAAAAGTTTAAAAAAGACAAAGGACATTATGCATTAACAAAAGATTCAATGAAGTAAGAAAATATAACAAACATTTATGCATCTAATAATAGACCAGCAAAATATATGAAGCAAAAAATGACAGAATTGAGGAATATATATATGCCATAGACATATATAGCTTTACTATAACAGATGCAGATTTCAATACCCCATTCTCAATAATGGACAGAATAACCAGACAGAAATAAATAACGAAATAGAGGACTTGAACAACACAATAAATCAATTTGATCTAACAAACACAGAATATTCTACCAAATAATAGCAGCATTCACATTCTTCTCAAGTGCACGAGGGACATTTTCTAGAACAGACCATATATTTGGCCACAAATTATGTCTCAATGTATTTTGAAAGACAGTTATCATACAAAGTATCTTATCAAAGCACAACAGGATGAAGTTAGAAACCAACAACAGGTAAATTTACACATTTGTGGAAATTAAATAACATACTCCTAAACAATCAATAGATCAAAGAAATTACATGGGAAATTAGGAAAATGAAAACTAAAACACAATGTATCAAAACTTACAGAAAGCAGTGAAAGCAGTGTTAAGAGGGAAACTTAGAACTATATACCCATTAAAAAAAAAAAAGATCTCAAATCAGTATCTAACTACAACTTACAGAACTAGTAAAAGAAAACAAACTAAACCCAGAGCTAGAAGAAGATTAGAACAGACATAAAAGAAATAGAGAACATAAAAACAATAGAGTAAATCAATGGAATTAAAGATGATTCTTTGAAAAGATCACCCAAATTGGCAAATCTTTAGTTAGATGGATGGAGAAAAAAATTACTTTTGGTAATTTAGAAATGAGATGAGGACATTACTACTGATTCTACAGTACTATGAACAATGAGTCATAGTTTATAGTCATGTTTGATAACCTGATGAAACTGACAAATTCCAGGGGTGCCTGGGTGGCTCAGTCGTTAAGCGTCTGCCTTCGGCTCGGGTCATGATCCCAGGGTCCTGGGATCGAGCCCCGCATGGGGCTCCCTGCTCCGCGAGGAGCCTGCTTCTCCCTCTCCCACTCCCCCTGCTTGTGTTCCCTCTCTCACTGTGTCTCTCTGTCAAATAAATAAAATCTTAAAAAAAAAAGACAAATAATGTATGATTTTACCTATACGAGATAGTTACAGAAGTCAAAATCATGGAAAGTAGAATGG